CGGCCCCTTAACCATCCACACATTGTCCGCTTGCTCGCCGTCTGTACACGACCCGAGAATGAACCAGTCTTTCTGGTGACCGAGCTGATGGAGCGCGGATCCCTCAAGAACTTTATGCACAGCCGGGAGTCCAAGTTTCTCACAATGGACCATCTAATTCAGATGATGGCTCAGGTTAGTTGGAAGTAGGTCCACGTGAAGAATAAACAGGGCTTGCGGCTACTAAAACGCATGGTCGCAACACAATATGGCCGGTAGGAAATTTCATGAGCACACTATTCGTGGACGCATATTTCAGCAGTTCTTGACTCAAAAGCCGACTCACGACATTTCGATGTCTTCCGTATAATAAAGAAGAGCAAAAACGAAGTATAATTGTTTAGGAGTAAATTTAAGGATGACGAGGCTATTTGGTATGGGCTGGCTAATGACCACAATTTATAGATTTCACCAGCCTTTTCTGCCTAATCCTAGCTCAACAGCAACGATGCGAGTAGAGACGCTTTCCATGGCTCCGAAAGACTGGTCTGATAATGCAAGATTTTTGGGATTAAACGATACTTTGCTTCGGAAGCCTTACGGTTTGGTGTATGGAGACAATAAAGTCATACACCAAAATAATTCGAGCAGAAGCTATTTGAAACAGCATACACTTGTGTCCACCAAAGACAGATTAAACTGCCAACAGAGAGCCAATTAACGTGCCTCATTTTATCCCGCAAATCCCCATGGAGAGAGCGCATAAGTGGTATATTACCTAAGTTTAATCGCCTCTTGACCCTTGTGGGAATCAGACGCCTATCCGTCTATTTCAGAGTCCATAAAATTAACAATTTTATACCAGATTTAGGATAAAATTAGGCTAAAGAATACTTATTATTGAAGTGAATATTCTTCTAGACTATCAGTCATTTTTGAATGGCAATACAAGTCACTCTGGCTCACTTAATGTGAGGTAAGGACTGATACCTGAATTATTCCACCGGATGGGAGTACCTCTTTGGAGGAAAGACCAAAGGAGATTAAAAGGTATCATTTTCATATGACAACGCTTAGTATATTCATTGTTCATGCTACCCTTTTGCCTACTTGCCAGAAGATCTACCCTCTTTGAAGGATCTATGCAGACGTTTGTGCCTTCCCAATCGGATTCTCCGAATATGCATTGTGCGCTAGTCAGGAGGGCAATACATCAAGTGCTACTAATTTTCACATCTCCTCCGTGTATATGGTTCATTTTTATCTACTCACCTCACATTGCTTTGTTCAGGTGAGTAGTTGAGGCACAATGACCTTTCTTGAGGGAACTATATTTGCGTCCCAAGTCAGAACCGGAAGCCCCTAGTCTTGAGTAAACTATGCATGTATATAAGTTGTTTGACCTTCTATTCGCAAATTGGTAGCATTGTCACGGCAACCTAGAGGGACACAGCTTATCCACAGTCCAGAATATGTGTGATAGCTTCCAGAATCGGACCATGGACTTGGTACATCACCGGACGCTTCACCTGCACCGTAATCGGCATCGTCAGGGAGCCTTTCCACTCTTAGCGCCACGCCACAACTCGTCACTCATTTGACCAGTTGTCTGCTAAACAGTTGTGGTATCTTTCCCTATGTCCTGGTGCATTCATTTGTCCCATACCCTCTTAACACCTCTTCACTATCATACTTTATTACGTCCTTATCTAAGCCTGGTTCAGGTGTACCCTTTTGAACGTTCTTAGCGTTACGAGGATATAGGACAGGTGAGTGTACCAGGACAAAAGGAGAGATAGAACAACTATTCAGTAATATGAGACGTATTCACCCTATTTCGTGTAAGGTGATGAAGGACTGGTAGTAGAATTTTCCCACAATGATACAAGTTGAGCTGAAGTTTCCATTGAATTTCACATTGCCTTGCTTT